AGAACATTTCAGAGGATTTGGAGATTTTTTGTTTTGAATAATTTGAGGGAGAGATGAAAAATGAAGAAGTGTTGTTTCATCTTGGATTTTATAGTGACCTGAAAATCCACTTGGATCCCCTAGGGGATCTGCGTGTTTTCATGCGGGTAAGGTCTAATTGCAAAGATAGTCCCTAAATTATTTTTAAAACCCATTTTGTGCCTTAAATTTAATTTTTAATCACTATTTTCTCCTTATTTTCACCACTCCTTTTATTTCTTTTTTAATTTGGTCCCTTTTTTATTTAATTCATGTTTTATTGAATTATTTTTTAGGTTATTATATTTTATGAGTTTTAATCCGACGTTTTTATTTATTTTTTTTTTACTTTTTTGATTTATTTTATTTTATTATTTTTGTTCTCGTTTTAATTTAATTAATTTTGGTCTTTGTTTGTACTTAATCTTGTAATTGGCATATTTTTATTTTTGGTAATTGACCTTTTTTTTCCTTTACGTCATTTTTTTATCACTTTGTGTTTTCAATAGGTGTGATTAGTATTTGTTTTGTTTATTTCTGTTTTTCATTCTGTTAATTTCTATTTCTCGACATGTGTATATTTCTTTTTTCCTATTTTGTTTAAAGTATTATAATTTAACCTTTGCTTCTTCTTCTTTTAATTAATGCAATATATTTTATTTTACAAATCTAACGTCTTATTGACCTTTTAGGAGTACTTTTTAATTGATCGGAGGTAAGTAATTTGAATCGGATTTTTACTTTTTAATTTAACTTACAATTTTCTTAATTAAGACAACTGAAAATTAAATTAGTACCAAAAGGGCAGTACAAGGGTGATAATCCTTCCTTGACTGTAAACGACTCTCGAGCCCGATATATTTTTGGTAAGACGCAGATCAGGTAAGAGAGTGTCCGATCAACCTAAATATTTTTTAAATGATCGATGGCGACTCTAACGTGTTTTATTTAAGTCGAAGCCCAATTCCAGGCCCACTCGAAAGACAGTTGTGATAGATTGTCGACTCCACTGGGGACAAGTAAGTGAGTTAGGCTAAGGTTAATTTCCAGTTATCTTCTTAAGTGAAAATTGTAAGTTTAAATTTTAAGTTAATTTTTCGATCCTTATTACTTACCTTTGATTATTTTTTAAGTAAATAGTTGTACTAACGTTTTTTCAATGATTTCATGTTTTAAAAAATTTCATCTCATACTCTATACCAGAGCTCTAAACCTTTTTAAGTGGAGGTGGAAGCGACGCTTTCATGATAGGGAAGCGGTGGCGGGTTAATGAACGTTGTTCTTGTTGAAGAATCAAACCTAGAAAGCTCTAGACTCGATGAAGAACAAAGGTGATGAATATGGGAAGGTGGCGACAGTCGCTAGGATTGTTTCGGGTTTCTTTTATGTGCTGGAATCAAGACAACACGATTAGAATAAAATAAACAAAAGATAAATAAATGAAAGATGAAATAAGATAATAAAGAAATCAAAAGATCTCCCTTATGAAGGTGAACGGTAAAGATGATTGATGGTGCGGATGGATTTGTGGAAAAATAGATGGATAAGTGTCCTATCGAGCCCTCCTAGTCGCAATGAAAAGGCAAACACGATAAATGGCTCTAACCAACCCTCCTAGTCGCGATGAAAAGGCAAATTGGAGTGTGAAGATTAATCTCCCTCACAAGAACTTGAAAGAACTCCAGGAGAAGAAGCTTCGAAGGCACAAGGCAATCAGCACTTGCAAAAACGAACTCTCGTTGTATTATTAATCAAAGAAATCTGATTTACAAAGTAGAATGAAGCCTCCTTTATATAGGGGATGAGTTCTAAAGGTCCTAAATAACTAATGAATAAGATAATAAAGAAATCAAAAGATCTCCCTTATGAAGGTGAACGGTAAAGATGATTGATGGTGCGGATGGATTTGTGGAAAAATAGATGGATAAGTGTCCTATCGAGCCCTCCTAGTCGCAATGAAAAGGCAAACACGATAAATGGCTCTAACCAACCCTCCTAGTCGCGATGAAAAGGCAAATTGGAGTGTGAAGATTAATCTCCCTCACAAGAACTTGAAAGAACTCCAGGAGAAGAAGCTTCGAAGGCACAAGGCAATCAGCACTTGCAAAAACGAACTCTCGTTGTATTATTAATCAAAGAAATCTGATTTACAAAGTAGAATGAAGCCTCCTTTATATAGGGGCTGAGTTCTAAAGGTCCTAAATAACTAATGAATAAAATAATAATAAACTAAACATATCTTAACTCTAATTCCTAATAAAGTAAAAATAACTAAAGATAATATTTTAACCCAACCTTAATTCCTAATAAAATAATAAATCTAATCCTAAAAGATAATGCATCATCATATATTAAGTTATATTACAAATAATCAATAAAAATATTGAAAATTCGTAATATTTACAAAATCTCGTATTAATCCCGTATAGGATTTTCTGCATGCACCGTCTTCAGTAAAATGGCCATATCTTGAGTTCCCGATATCGGATTGATACGATTCAAGAACCGTTGGAAAGATAAGAGACAGACGGTTGTATCTGCAGAAGATATGTTGACCAAATAAGATCAGGATCCCATTAAAAAAGTCGTTTCAAGTCTGCTACTGTTCTGATCTTCTTTTCCAAAGCTTGGACGAGTGGATCATTTGGAAGAGTTATTACTTCTTCCTTTGATGTGAGCCTTGTGATGAATGTATCATCCTCCCTTTATTCAAAAAGATTCGACCTAGAATCTGAAACATTAAAGGGATCAAAATTAGAATAGTTTAATAATTCATTCACATTATGCTTACCGAATAGATATGCTTTGAATCTTCGAGACTTTGTTCTTCTAATAGGTTCGAGTAGAAACATTAGTCCAAAGAAGCATGTATTATGGACTCTGGTGCATGTATCATTTCATGGGAATTTATTCTCCGTATAGGCCTAGCAAGTAACCTTCGGGATTCATATACCTTGTGTCTTCGTGTGAATTTATTCTCTTTATAGACATAAGGGAATTCATCCTCTAGAGTTTAACTTGGTCCATATAAGCTGGTAATGGGCATATGACTGAGGGTTTGGCAAGATCAAGGGGCACCATCAATGAGAACTCGTGTACCTTCTTTAGTACCTAAACCGGGAGACTACAAGGAATTAGAGCCCACCACAAAACTCCATTTCAAAACCTAGGATGTTTTACTTCCTCTTCAAAGCATGCAATTTATCATTTTTTACTTTTATCAATATTATTTCTATCTTACTAACTGATTTTTCTTTCATGTTTGTTTTTTTATTATTTGCATCATAAAAAGAGGTAATTGATCCATAAAAGGTGTTTGTTACATACAAATAATATGGATTAATGGACAAAGGGGTTATAATGTAAGAGGTGAAAAACGTCGAGTTACGACTATGGTTCGAAAAGACTCAGAAAAAAGGGAAACAGTCTGCAAGGAAACTATGTGACAGATCTGGTTAGCTATGCTTCTGTCAGCCTAAAGAAGAATGATATTCAAGAACTACGAAGCATTTGGGATAGCTGAAAAAGTGACCAGAAGTGGAGGTTTAGTCAGCGGTATGGTGATATTGCACTTCTACTCTATGTCAAGATATATGAACCCCTAATTAGAGCCCTAGTATAATTCTAGAATCTAGGGTACAACTGTTTCACCTTTAACCAAAAAGACATGGTACCCACAATCAAAGAGTATACCACATTGCTACATTACGAAGGAATTAGAATGGATCGGGTCTACATCAAGCACATCAAAAGTCAGTCTTTTAAGAATGGGCTGGAAAATTTTACAGGGGTAGATGAGAAATGGGTAATTGACCGAGTTAAACACAAATGTAGTAGGGATGTAATTGCTTGGACCCATATCAAGCAACTAATGAAGAATCACCCCAATGAATGGAAGGCAATGGACCTTTCGCGCTGGGCCTTTATGGTTTGGTTATCTTCCCGAAGACTTTGGGATACATTGAGGCGGCTGTGGTGGAACTGTTTAAACAACTCCTGAAACGAGTAAATCCAGCATCAAAAATTTTAGCTGAAACTTTTTGCTCCCTTAATCACTGCAGAAAGAATGGCAGAGGAAGATTTATAGGGTGTGCACAGCTCCTCCAAGTCTGGATCCATAGTTGCTTCTGAAAGACTAACGGGATTTCTTACCACCGATTCAACTCTACTTATTCTCATTTGGAGGAATTCCTTACCATGAAGTGGCAAGAAGGTGTCCCGAAAGAAAAGTGGATGAAAGTATTCACACACCTTCAAGATAGGGATATTGTCTGGAGAGCTACTTTGTTAACCCACAATGACATTCTTTTCTGATGTGGAGAATAATAAACCATAACATTACTTGGATTATAGGGCAAAGTCGGATACTCTCCACTTTTAACACTTCGTTAGTATGAGGCACGCCAATTTGTCCCAACAACACATGAAATATCTGGATTAGAATTTGCGTACCATGGGAACAACTAAAAGAAAAAGGTCAACGTGGTAGCTGATTCGTGGAAGAAAATGTTCCGTATGGATGTCATGGCTGCTAAAGACATGCTTACTCTAGACTATTTGGAATGACATAGGTTAAGGAAAAATGGCACCATCCCCGTGCCAGATCATGAAGACACTCGAACCATGGAAGAGCATCTTAAGCATGTTCCCTCCGAGCTAGAGATAGCAAGGAAAGAATTTGAAGCTGAAAAGAAAGAGCTGAAATAAAGGCTAAAAGAACTCGAGGCTGAAAGATTCCAGTGATAATTAGATGTCGATACTCAGAAGGATAGGGCAGACAAGTTAGAAAATGAACAGAAGAAAATATTCTTTGAGCTCAAAGACTTGAGAAAAAGGATATCAAGAACAAGTCCGGAGCAATTCCAATCTGAAAAGGTCTTCTGAGTACTAGAAAAGTGAAGCTAGCAGCCTGAAAAGGAAGTTTGAGGGGTAGGATGAAAGAGAGACCTCGAAAGAGAGACTTTGAAAGAATAGCTAAAGACTTCTCAGAGATGTTTATTAGACAACCAACACTAGAACAAGCGTTTGAAGATTTAGGCAATTGATTTAGAGAATTCTCTTTAGAAATAGCAAGAACGAGATGGTAAAACCATAGCTAAGTTGGAGGCCATTGTGGATGGGTTCAAGAAATAAGAAAGTGAGCTTCAGATCGTTCCCTTTGATGGAAGGTTTTAGTGGCGTTTTCATTGGGAACAAGCTCAACAAAGGGTGAAAGCTAGAGATGCAGTCATCCGAGATTTCTTGGAGCAAGTACAAAAAGCAGCTCGTCATTTGCATGGTTTAGCAAGAGAAGCTGGAGTGATCTGACATGGTATTCAACCAGTGATAGATGAAGGGAGAAGACTTGTTAATCTATTAGAAGCTATTTGGGGTTTAGAGGATTTAGTCAGAATGTACCTTTAATATATTTTTTTGTATCTTAAAAAAATAAAAACACTTTTGTCTCAGTAAATATTATTTATAATAACAGACACGTTTCTGGATCAATGCCTCTAATTCTTATGCATCATGCATTGTTTTTCATACTTTTCATTTTATTTTTATTTTCCATGTTTTTACATTCACATTAATTAACAGAAAATGTGTCATCAGAAAAGGGAACAAACACCGAGTTTACCTCCACAAGCTTTGGACACGCATCATCCTCACAACACTCGCACATAGAAAAGACAAATGGAAGCTAAAATTTCTCAACTCGGAGAGAACATGTTGAGGTTACAAAGGGAGTTAGAACAAAAAAGAAGCCCTAATAATCAAAGTACTCTAGAAACGATCACTAAGAGCCATGAGTCTTTGGTCAATCAGATTGTTTCCAAGTTATATGGCTTAAATCAAGCAAGTGTGCCTGGGGAAAGTTCATGTGATGGGGTAGCTATGCCACCTACCCCGCAGGTGGTTATCTCACCTGGAATCTTACTAGGACTACAAGAGGACTCGTCCGCTACAAAAATGAAAGCCTCGTCTGTTGTAAAGGTACAAACCTCTATATCTAACCCTGAAAAATAATCTGGATGATTACCATATACCAGATTTTGATGAAGAAGGCAAGGCAAAGAAAATGGAAGAAACGATCAAGCTATTAGAAGACAAAATGAAGGTGGTTAAGGGGCACCACGATTATTATGGAGTCAATGCTTTAGAGTTGAGCTTAGTCCCAGATTCGGTGGTTCCACCAAAATTCAAAGTACCCGAGTTTGAGAAGTTCGATGGAAATAGTTTCCCTTCAGCTAACATCACCATGTTTTGTCGGAAGATGACAGGATATGTAGGAAATGATCAACTCCTGATTCATTGCTTCCAGGAGAGTCTGTCGGGTTCAGCCATCCGGTGGTACAATCAGCTGAACCGATCTTATATCAAGACCTGGAAAGATTTAGCCAAGTATTTCTTAGAACAAAACATGCATATAAATGATATGAGACCAGATCAAGTCATGACGCAAAACATGGAGAAGAAGCATAACAAAAGCTTTAGACAATATACAAAGAAATAGAGGGATTTAGTTGTGCAAGTTCGTACACCCTTTGATGAGATGAAAACCAGGAAGTTCTTTGTGTAAACCTTGAGGGCTCCTTACTTCGGGCACATGGTTGCAATCACATCAAGAAATATTTCTGACTTAGTTATGGCAGTGAGATGATTGAAATGGCCATAAAACAAGGCAAGATCAAGGGAGGGGAATCAAGCAAGAAAGCTCCTATGAAGAAGAGACATGGAAATATTAATAACATCAATAACTACAATGCAAATAAAGGTGTTATAATCTCAAACTCAAAAACAACTACAACTGTACCGTCAGGTACTTCTAGAATAAATCTGGGGAACCTAGGAAAGAAAGAGAAAATGAGCATTTCGACCATATTCCCATGACGTACAAGGAACTATATCAATAACTCTTTGACACTCATGTAGTGTCACCATACCTGTTGGAACCTATGAAGCCACCATACCCCAGATGGTAAGATGAGGATGCTCACTTTGAATATCATGGTGGTGTGTCAGGGCACACTATTGAGAATTGCCTTGCATTTAAGAGAATCGTGCAAAGAATGCGTAACAAGAATTGGATTCACTTCAAATCAGGAGCACCTAATGTTGCACAAAATCTTTTACCAAATCATCAAGAGACTGGGATTAATACAATCATTATAGAGAAAGGCAGGAAAATTAAAACTGGTGTTTCTGAAATAAAGTCTCCTTTGGCTTGGGTATGGAGACAGATGGTGAAAGCAGGGATTCTTGCACCACATTTTGATACATCAAGAAGTGAAGATGGTAACCACTGTTGTTACCATAATGAAGAAGGGCATGAGGTGCAAGATTGCCCGAAGTTTAAAGCTTTGATCCAGCTCATGATGGATAGGAAGGAGCTGGAGTTCTATGAAGAAGTTTGAGACTCTCCAGAAGTAGATGTTTGTGCTACTGGAGAATCATCCGAAAGCGGATATGGCAGGGGTCATCTTTTGGTAATTACCCCTAAAGTGAAGATAGCAGAGAAAGCACAAGAAAAGGTGGTGATCACAGCACCCCGACCTTTTTCTTACAAGGACAACAAACTAGTGTCCTAGAAGTATGAATGCCAAGTAAGCACCCTAAAGGAAGATGACAACAAAGTGGGGCATACTGTAGGGAAACACTACTCCCAAGAGGCTAAGTCCCCCTAGAGACCACTTGAACCCTTCAAAAAGGATGTGTTGATAATAAACGAGCCAATAAAGAAGGAAGAAGTTATATAGTTTATGAAATTTTTAAAATACAACGAGTACAACATCATAGACCAATTACATAGCATGTTGACACGTATTTCAATGTTAACACTGCTGCTAAGTTCATAAGCCCACATGGAAGCACTTTTTAAGGTTTTAAATCAAACGTTTGTGCCAAAAGATATATCAGTCAGTAAGATGGATCGACTGGTTAACAATATTCAAGCTGATAATCTCATATCATTTTCTGATGATAAGATTTCGTCTGGAGGAAGAGGTTGAGCTAAGGCATTACACATCACTACTCATTGTATGAGGCATACCTTACTAAGTGTGTTAATTGACAATGGTTCAACCCTTAATGTGATGCCTTTGGTTACGTTGAAAAGACTACCAATTGACACTTCCCACATGAGAACTTGCCAGAGTGTGGTTCGAGCATTTGACGGGACCAATAGGAGGTAATTAGTAATATTGAGGTGCCTTTAACCATCAAACCTGCTACTTACAATGTTAAATTCTTGGTAATGGACATCATGCCTTTATACAACTGTCATTTGGGAAGACTTTGGATCCATCAAGCTGGAGTAGTATCATCTACGCTGCACCAGAAAGTTAAGTTTGTCATTGATGGGGCTCTTATAATTATTAGTGTTGAAGAAGATATCGTGGCGAGTGTGACCATTGATGCCCCATACATATAAGTAAATGATAAAGTGGTAGAATGTTCGTTTTGCTTCTTAGAGTTTGTGAATGTCACATTTATGGTTAAAGGAGGAAAGATTTTCAAACCCCGGCTCTCCGAGTGCACTAAATGGAGATCAAGCAGACATTGGGAAGAAGTGTCAAGGTAGGAAAATGATTTGGGAATCTATTGCAAGGAATGATCAACCTCGTCTTTCCTATAACAAAGTTAGACAAGTTCGGGCTTGGTTTTCAGCCCAGTCAACAACAGAAGAGGAATTAAATTAAAAAAAATTGAGAAAGAAGTTTGGTCAGATTAAATGGGAGTGAATTTCAATGGGAACCCATGGTATTCCCACATCTTTGTAACACAGTTAAATCAGGTGGTTATGTGTTTAAGACCAGCTCATCAGATTGGGAAAATGCTTTGAAAGACTTGAGTATCAACGCCATAATCACAGAGAATGTTGAAGATGCAGATAGATTTGGAATCCGCCCACTGCCACTCGGGTTTGTTCTTAGCAATTGGTTGGCGGAAGAACTACCTGTGATTTTCAAATTTCTTTCAGAGTAATATTCAAACTATCCCTATTCGCCTATACCTGAGGAAATTGGTGATCTTTTGTAAGATTGAATAAATATTTTTAAAAAATTCAATAAAATATTTAATCTCTTTCTTGACAAACATTTTTCTTACTTCATTTCATATTCTTTTGAATTTAATTTCCCTTCATTCAGTACTTCATTTCATTCTCTTTTGACTTTAATCTTCGATCATTCCGTGTGGGATATATTCCTCTTATGCATACACATTTCCTTCTCCTTCAGGTCCCAAGATAATGATAATGCGGGCATTGATGATCCTGAGCCGGAGGTGGATTTTGAATTGTCAAATTATCTTGGGGAAATTGATAAATGTGACAATGAAAAAGAGTGCAACTTATCGTCCGAGTTATTAAGGATGGTAGAAAGAGAAGACAAGAAAATATTGTCACATGATGAGAAAATCGAAGTATTGAATCTGGGTACAGAAGATGAAAGAAAGGAAGTCAAAATTAACACAACTCTCTCGGCTGAAGCAAGACAAAACTTGATATTCTTACTTCAAGAATACAAAGATGTGTTTGCATGGTCGTATCAAGATATTTCGGGGCTAGATACAGATATGGTAGTCCAAACACTACATATCAAACCATAATTCAAACCCGTGCAACAAAAGCTAAGGAGAATGCGACCTGAAATGCTTCTTAAGATCAAAGAATATGTCAAGAAACAGTTCGATGCTGGCTTCCTTCAAGTGGCCAAATATCTGGAATGGGTAGCTAACATATGTCGGTTCCAAAGAAAGACGGGAAAGTATGCATTTGTGTCGATTACTGAGACCTTAACAAGGCAAGTCCCAAAGATAACTTTCCTCTGCCGCACATAGACATCTTCTTATTCATGGACGGATTCTCAGGATATAACCAGATTAAGATGCATCCTGAGGACATGGAAAAGACCACATTCATCACAATGTGAGGAAAGTTTTGCTACAAGGTGATGCTCTTCAGATTAAGGAATACTGGGGTAACGTATCAAAGAGCTATGGTGACCATGTTTCATGACATGATGCACAAAGAAATCAAAGTTTATGTCGACGACATGATTGTATGGAACAAACCGAAGATGAACATGTCAAGAATCTGACAAAGTTCTTTCAAAGATTAAGAAATTTCCAGCTGAGACTGAACCCCAATAAGTGTACCTTCAGGGTAACATCTAGAAAGCTGTTAGGCTTCGTGGTCAGTAGGAAAGACATCGAAGTTAATCTCGATAAAGTTAAGGCCATCTAGGATTTATCTTTTCCACAAACACCAAAAGAAGTTCGAGGTTTTCTGGGCAGATTGAATTACATAGCACGGTTCATATCTCAACTAACCGATAAATGCGACTCAATCTTTTGCCTTCTTCAAAAGAACAACTATTGATCATGGGATGAGGACTGCCTGGTTGTATTTGAGAAAATAAAAGAGTACTTATCTCACGCTCCTATCTTAATGTCCTCCATCCAGGGTAAACCTCTATTCTTATATTTATCCATATTCGAGAATTCAGTGAGGTGTGTCCTAGGTCAACATGATGAATCCGAGAGGAAGGAAATGGCCATTTACTATTTGAGCAAGAAGTTCATTGATTAAGAGGTCATATATCATCCCATCGAAAAGTTTTGTTGTGCTTTAGTATGGGTTACACGTAAACTCTGATAATACACGCTATACCACACCACTTAGTTGATTTCCAAGTTAGATCCAGTAAAGTTTATGATGGGTATGCTTACTCTCTCTGGAAGGTTAACCCGAAGGCAGATGTTGTTATCCAAATTTGACATCGAGTACATGAGACAAAAAACTATAAAGGGAAGTGCCATATCGGATTTATTGGCAAGTAGAACTGCTGAAAATTACGAGCCGCTAGACTTTGACTTTCCAAACGAAGACTTGATGGTCATATCCTTAGAAGAAGCAAGTACTTCCACATGTGATTCCTGGAAAATGCATTTTGATGGTGCATCAAATGCATTAGGACATGAGATTGGGGCAATATTGGTCTCCCCTAAAGGAAATCAATACCCATTCACTAGTAGACTGAATTTCGATTGCACCAACAACATGGCAGAGTATGAGACTTGTGTATTGGGGATTCAAGCTGCTATTGGACAAAATATAAAGACCTTACGAGTATATGGAGATTCACCTTAGTGATCTATCAGCTCCACAGAGAATGAGAGACGAAGGATGTAAAGCTGATAGAGTACCAAAAGCTAACACTGGATCTACTCGAAGAGTTTGATGATGTCACCTTCCATTAGTGCCTAGAGAAGAAAATCAAATGGCTGACGTTTTAGCTACCTTGACAGCCACATTTAAGGCTGGCGAGGAGTCTGATATGATGCCAATTGACATGCAGTCGTATGAGTACTTGACTCATTATTACCAAATCGAGGAAGTAAAAGACACTAAGCCCTGATACCATGATATTCTACAATACATCAAGAACCAAAGTTATCCAAAGGAAGCCACCGAAACTGATAAAAGAACTACTAGAAGGATGGCGGCTGGATATGTCCTTGATGTGGAGGCCTTATACAAGAAAAGCCATGATCAAGTCCCGTTGAGATGTATACATGCAGAAGAGACAAAGATGATAGTAGAAGAAATATATTACAGAGTTTACGGAATA